CTCTCTTGCACTCTTACTTGCTTTGCTCACTCTGAAGGAAATTTAGCTATGATATTGGAGCTGCCCATATAGAAGAAGTAACTGATGCCTCTAGCCAACAGCTATGTGAGCAAGCTTGGAAGCATATCCTCTCAGTCAAACACACCTGAGATTAGACCATAGCTACAGCCAATACCTTGTTTGCAACCTTGTGAGGGACCCTGCGCCAGAAGCACCGAGCTAAGCCATGCCTAGATTTCAGACCCACAGAAACTTGGGGATAATATTCATTGTTTTAAGCTGCTATATTTCAGGGTAGTATGTTACACATCAATAAAGAAACTACTATTTTTTGCAACTCCTCTTTAAGTTGAAAATTACCCCAGAATAAAAAAGTTTAAAAATATTTAGTACTTGCACATGTTCTATGCAAACACATAGTCATGCCTTGCCTAATGACGGAGACACATTCTCAGAAATGCATCCTTAGACGATTTTGTCGTACGAATATCACAGAATGCACTTACACAAACCTAGATGGTATAGCCCAGTGGTCGGCAAACTCATTAGTCAACAGAGCCAAATACCAACAGTACGACGATTGAAATTTCTTTTGAGAGCCAAATTTTTTAAACTTAAACTATATAGGTAGGTACATTGTTATTAACTTAATTAGGGTACTCCTAAGACTTAGGAAGAGCCATACTCAAGGGGCCAAAGAGCCGAATGTGGCTCGTGAGCCGCAGTTTGCCGACCACTGGTAGCCTAATACACACCTACGCTCTATGATACAGCCCATTGCTCCTGGGCTATAAGACTGTATAGTGTCTTACTGTATTAAATACTGTAGGCAACTGTAACAAAATGCTAAATATTTGTGTGCCTAAACATATCTAAATATAGAAAAGGTACAGGAAGCCTAACCCGTTTGGCTAAGTGGATAGAAGGTCGACCTGTGGACTGAAAGGTCCCAGGTTCGATTCCGGTCAAGGGCATGTACCTTGGTTGCGGGCACATCCCCAATAGGAGGTGTGCAGAAGGCAGCTGATCGATGTCTCTCTCTCATCTATGTTTCTAACTCGCTATCCCTCTCCCTTCCTCTCTGTAAAAAAGAAAAATAAAATAAAAAAATTAATCAATTAAAAAAGAAAAAAAGAAAGAAAAGGTACAGTAAAAATATGCTGTAAATGATTTAATATGGTACACCTGTACAGGACACTTACCATGAATGTGACTAGAACAAGTTATGAGTGAGTCAGTGAGTGAGTGGTAAGTGAATGTGGAGGCCCAGAATATTATTGTAAGTACTGTACACTTTATACACACTGTAAACCTAAACTACACTAAATTTATTTTTAAAACACCTTTTTTCTTCAATAATAAATTAACAGCTTACTGTAACATTTTTTTACTTTAACATTTTTAACACAGCTTAAAAAACACATTGTATGGCTGCACAAAAATAGTTTTTCTCCATATTCTTATTCTATAACCTTCTATTTAAAACTTTAAAAATATTTTTTACTTTTTAAAACTTTCTGTTAAAAACTAAGACATAAACACACACATTAGCCTGGGCCTCCACATGATCAGAATCATCAATATCATTGTCTTCCACCTTTACATCTTGTCCCACTGGAAGGTCTTTAGAGGTAATGACACACGTGGAGCTGTCATCTCTTATGATAAGAATGCCTTCTTTTGAAATACCTCATGAAGGACCTGCCTGAAATATGTCCATGGTGGTTTGCTTGGGTGATTATTTTTATCATAGATTTGCTTGTAGGTAGATAATGCACCATGAACATTCCTTTCAATTGATGAAAACCCTTCAGTGCTGAGGCCCATGTTTTCAAAAGTTTTAAGGAGCTTGTTGAAGTCTGCAAAGGCGTCTGCTAAACCCTTTACTGTGCATTTTCTTGGGGGTTCCTCTTCTTTTTCTTCTGCAGTTTCCTTTTCTCTTGGCCTCTTCTTCAGCTATGTATTCCTGCTCTAGTTCCAACCACTCCACACTAGTCAATTCCTCAAGAACCACATCTAGGAACTCTCCAACGTCATCCTTATCCAAACCCAGGTTACAGCTGTTTGTCATCTCAACTACAACCTTGTTGATTTTTGCAACCTCTTTATCTTTGGCAAATCCTTTGGAGTCATAGACGTCATTAGGCAATAAGAATTTTTTAAATGAAAAAATTAGTAAAATGCCACCTCCAGCACTTAATGGTCATTATAATCTTATAGGACCACTGTCATATATGTAATCCATCACTGACCTAAATATTGTTATGTGGTAGATGACTGTATATACACACAAATAAATGTGTTATGTATATATAGTTTGAATTATTTATGGACACTGGAGTCAGACACACCTAGGTTCAAATGCCACCTCCAACACTTAATGGTCATGTGATCTGAGGCAAAACATTTAAGTATTAGGCTTTTAAAAATCTATAAATTGAGATAATACTATCTGATTATACTGAAAAAAATAATATAGGCCACCACTAACATTTAGTACATTCTGAACAAATGGCATTATTAATTCATATTTATAATCATCTGTAATTTTCTCATTCAAGGAAATCAGCTCCAATAACTAAGCATTTTATCATTTTGATGAGTTTAAATATTGTACATAAACTTGTCAATCTTTTAATTTTTAAACATTTTTCAAAAATAATTATCAATATTGATTTCTCCAATACCCTACTATTTGTAACATTGAAACTAGAGATTCACCTTGTTTGTTGTTTGTTTTGCCCCAATTCAATTCTCAATCACTAATTTTTAGACATTTCATTTGGACATATGAGTGCAAAAATATGAAATGACTTATCCAAGAAGATAGTAGAAGAGCTAGAAGTATAGCTCAAGGTTTGGAGAAACAATATCATGTGATAAACAAACTCTTGCTTTGATTAAAAAGTCTGTATGTGAACGCCCCATCTGCTGCTTACAATCAGCATTATTTGAGAAAATGCTGTTTGCTGACAAAGTAGCAACATCTGTGTCTCAGTTTCCCGGAGGGTAAATATGGATACCACCATCAACGCATAGGATTATCATGAGTATTAAATGAGATAACATATACAAGTCCCTCACTGCCAAGAATACCATATGCAGATGTTGAAAAAACATTTTCTCCCCTTTTTCCTTTCCAAGGCCAGTGCTCTCCACTATGACATGTTGCCTACTCAACTATAAGATGGAAACATTAAATACAAAGGGTAGTTCCGTTTAGCCATAACAGAATGTTAGGAGTCTCTTGTGAGACTAATGTAAAACTGAATTAATGACAGTCTTAAATTTAGGCTGAATAATATCAATCTAATGCATTTATCCCTGAGCTGGTTTTTCTTTCCTATAATACACTGTGAAGTAGCGCATCACATCAGGGAGTACAGTATTTTGATTTGCATTACTGGTGAGGTTAAACCTTGATTACTTGGCTAAAGTGATGTTTGCCAGAATTTTCCACTGAAAAGTTACCTTTTTACATTGTAAATACTAAATATTTGAGGGGAATCATAAAATGGAAACGAAGAGAGGGGGGAAAAAAGGAGAGAGCGCACATGCAGGAGAGGGAGCATGTGCATGCATCCTTTCCCAAAGCCTGGTCTTCAGCATATCTTCAACACAATAAGTAAGGAACTAGTAACTTGTACCACTGCATGATCAAAGAGTCTTCTCAAAATAATTCAATGTTTTAAATACTTGAAGCCAAGTCTTATCAAAAGCCCTTTGAAAGTATAAACACATTACTTTCAGATGTCTTTACTTTGATATTTATCTCTTGAAAGACTTCCAGCAGAATCATTAGATACAATCTGCCCTAAGAGAATCATACTGCTCCCCCCAAAAAAACTTACATTTGCTTAAGTATTTAAAACCCGCTATGACAAATTCCATCAGCTTGCTTGTTATCACAAAGAGACTCACCGATCTGCAGATACTGGAGTCCTTTCTGGATTGGAATATTCTTCCAAATCTGAAAAGTTCACTTGTGTTTGCTTTGAGGTTACTATCTGGCTATTCTGAAAAGGTATGGTTTTCAAGTTCTGAGAAATAATATTACTATCTGGAAGAGACTGTATGACTTGAAAGTCCGGTGAAGATTTAGGTCCTAGAGAACCTAAAGATTCTTGATCATGTACTATAAGTTTACCGGTCAGTAATTTGGAGGTTGGTTCCAATGATCTTGAAGATATAGTTTGTAGGTCAGAGTTAAACTCACTATTCATCCTTGTTTTAGAAGCTGAATCCAATGAAAGAAACCTTTTATCTAAGGTTCCACTATCCAACTTGGAGGAAGTCTTGGGAGAAAGAGTTATACGAACAAAAGAAAGTACCTTTTTGTTTGAAGGTGTAGTAGATGGAGTAGTTACTAATGTATATTGATTTGGCGATGATTGGGAAACCACATCATTGATTTTATTAGTTTCAACGTTTATATTAGAAATGTATGATTTAGGCTCTTGTTGATCCTTGTTTTCTACTACATAATCCTGACCTTGAGGAAGGGGGGAATATTGTTTTCTCATTTGGTGATCTATATCAGGGCCCCTGCTTTGTTCAAAGAGCTGACGCTGTTCAAGAAATATAGAAGAAGGAAGGTCTGGAGCTATATAACTCTGATCTTGAGGAAGGGGAGAGTGGTTTATTCTCATCTGATGATCTACCTGTGGGGTTTTGCTTTGTTCAAAGAGTTCTCGGTTTTCAAGAAAAATGTGACAAGGAAGATTTGGAACTACATAATGCTGATGTGAAGGAGGAGGAGGAGGAGGGGGAGGAGGAGGAGGAGGAGGAGGAGGGGGAGGAGGAGGAGGAGAGGTACGAGGAGGAGGAGGAGGAGAGGTACGAGGAGGAGGAGGAGGAGAGGTACGAGGAGGAGGAGGAGGTTTTCTTATATAGTGATCTGCATGTGGGACTTTGCAGAACTCAGGTTGTTCAAAAAATATGGATGGAGAATTTGGAGTTACAGATGCTCTAGTATACTGGCTATCTTCAGTAACACCAACCTTAAGAACAGAGGAATCTGAAAAGCATTTAGAATGTCGGTGAGATGAAAAAGTGATGGAGGTAGTAAACTTTTTCATGGATTCTGGGGACAGCATTTGTGATGAAGAATGACAATCCATTTCTTCAGGTAGCACATAAGTAGGTTCTACTAATTCTGACAGCCAAGGGTCCATATTTTCACGGAATGGCATTCGAAAACCCTTGCTAATTTTGAAGTCATCAGTTGTAAAATTCTGAATTGGGGAACGACTTTGTAACTGCAAGGAATTCCAAACTTTGAAACGGGTGTTGCTCTGGTCTAGTGATTTGGAAAGGTTGATGGGACTGCTTCTCCATGATGATGGGCTCCGGTGTCCTCTGATAATTTCTAAGGGTTCAGGTGATCTGAAGATACAAGGATGGCTGTCCAACTGTGATTGTTTAGAAGTTAGAGTCCTGAAACATCCTTTTTCATGGCTCTCAATAATAATATGACCACAGACAGCTTCTGGATGGCATCTTATTCCCTGTGGACTCCGTAAACCCTAGAAAATATAAAGATCTTACTTGAAGTAGTCCAAATAGTTATACAAAAATCACTTTGCTGATATTTAACAATAAAACAGGTAAGAACATAAGAATAAGACAATTAATTATAGAATAAAATGGCCCATGACCATGCAGTTAATTTCTTTTAAAAATTTTTCACTTAAGTAACAAAAGCAAAGACTACTATTGCCTCCCAGTAGTCTCACTTTTTTTCTTTTAGTAACAGAATATCCCAACATTAACTAATCATAAGGCCACCAAGCCACAGATAAAGGGTGTCCCAAAATTCACACAAGAAGTAATTTTGATAGAAAACACAGGTTTATAATTAAAAATTGTAAATTTTTTATTGATTCATAAAGTATACAGTATAGGGTTATGTATGGAATGGCATATCGGGTAAATGGATTATCATGTCGCAATAGCGAGCATCATTAACTGTTATTGCCTGAGTAGCCGCATTTTTGAAGAAGAATGGTCCGTTGATGCCTCCAGCCCAAAATCTCACTCGTGCCTGAGGTTCATTTTCATCTTGATGGCTTGGTTAATCGACAAAATTGTTGCATTTGGCGTTCAGAAAATCCACGAGTGATTTTTGAGAAACAAATGCATCCACAACATGTCACTGTTTGGTGCGGATTTTGGGCTGGAGGCATCATCCAACCATTCTTCTTCGAAAATGCGGCTACTCAGGCAATAACAGTTAATGGTGCTCAACAGTTAATGGTGTTCGCTATCGTGACATGATAATCCATTTACCTGATATGCTATTCCATACATAACCCTATACCAGGGGTCCTCAAACTACGGCCCGTGGGCCACATGCAGCCCGCCGAAAACATTTATCCGGCCCGCTGGGTGTTTTTGCTGCCGCTGTGTGCATAGGAATTTGTTCATAGTTTTTTTTTAAACTATAGTCCGGCCCTCCAACGGTCTGAGGGACAGTGAACTGACCCCCTGTTTAAAAAGTTTGAGGACCCCTGCCTACACTATATACTTTATGAATCAATAAAAAATTTACAATTTTTAATTATAAACCTATGTTTTCTATCAAAATTACTTCTTGTGTGAATTTTGGGACACCCTTTATTTCCAGCTTCCTTTGAAGCTAGTTGTGAACATAAGACTAAGTTTAGGCCAATGGAATATGAGCAAAAGAATTAAGTACAAATTTTGCTTTCTGTCCTTAAAAAATCAAGTTCTCAACCTCTACATTCACCTATCACTACTATCACCATTACTATTGCCAACTGAAATAGGTGCCATATAAAAGGATGGCTCAGCTGCCCACCCAGCTTGGGTCCTTGGATAACCTCAAGCAGCTTGTTCTTGTTCCTACCCTGGACTATCACATAAAAGAAAAATAAAATTCTACCTTATTTGAGCCACTGTATTTTGGGGTTTCTTTGTTACAGAAGCTTAGCCTACACCCTAATATTTTACCACTTAGAATAAAGAACTAATACTTCTTCCTGGTTAAGATCAGTGCATAATGCTACCATAAACATAAATTTTCTTTGAGATGTCTGCATTTTACCTGTGAAGTCATAACTTGCCGTTCTACTTGATGATATAGGCACATTTGGCTTCATATAAAAATACTTTAGCCCGGCCGACATGGCTCAGTGGTTGAACATTGACTTATGAATCATGAGATCACGGTTTGATTCCCAGTCAAGGCACATGCCCAGGTTGCAGGCTCAATCCCTAGTAGGGAGATTGTAGGGGGCAGTCGATTGATGATTCTCTCTCATCATTGATGTTTCTATCTCTCCCTCTCCCTTCCTCTCTGAAATCAATAAAAATACATTAAAAAAAAATTTTAAAATATGCTGCACTTCCGACATAGTGGAGTGGATGTGCTTTGCCCTATTCTACCTGCTAAGTCCTCAACTAAAAATCCTGGACATTATACATAAAACAAACTTAAGAAGAATCTGAAAACTACAGAAAAGAAGGCAGACTGGCTAGGCAGCCGTGGGCAAACTACGGCCCGCGGGATCCGGCCCGTTTGAAATGAATAAAACTATTGAAAAAAAAGACCGTACCCTTTTATGTAATGATGTTTACTTTGAATTTATATTAGTTCACACAAACACTCCATCCATGCTTTTGTTCCGGCCCTCCCTGGTCCAGTTTAAGAACCCATTGTGGCCCTCGAGTCAAAAAGTTTGCCCACCCCTGGGCTAGGGACATTGGGACGTGAGGAATGAGATGGTAGTGAAATCCCTGGGTTTTCTTTTTACCTGATATATCCCAGATTTGGATCTGAAGAAGCCAGCAACACACGAACAAAGGGCACATACAAAAGCCCTAACAAAAACCTACTCTGATTAGCTAAAAACAAACAAACTGTAAAAGTGAAGTCTAACAAGACAGAAAACTTTGCCCTGATTGGGTGGCTCAGTTGGTTGAGTGTCATTCCATACACCAAAAAGACTGTGGGTTTGATTCCAGGCCGAAGCACATATGGAGGCAACCGATCGATGTTTCTCTCTCAAACTGATGTGCTCTTTCTCTGCCCCATTCCCACCCCCACCCCCCGCCTTCCATTCTTCCCTCCTTCCCACCCTCCTTTCATTTCTCTCTCCCAAATCAATTAAAAAACACACATATCCTTGAGTGGCAATTTAAAAAACTTTTAGACAAAAACTAATCTATTTCAGCCAAACACTACAGAAAAAAAAGGGGGAGGAGGGGGGCTAAGTGAGGAGCATAGACTTCTACCATTCCAAAACAATAATGAAGCACCACCAAGCCAAGCTGGTATTAGAGATGGCCAAGTAGGAGTCCTGCTGGCTGGTAATAAGCTACCCCTCCCTGTGGTGTCAGTGGAGACCACACAGGAAGACTGAATTTTCATTTCCACTCAGCAGTAATGAGGTGCCCCCCCTCTCTCCCAGCTACCAACTGGAAGAAAGTATTTGAAAATCTCATATCCAACTGAAGACTTGTATCTAACATATACAAAGAACTCTCAAAACTTAACAATTACAAAACCCACACACAATTCAATCAGACAAATGGGCCAAATAACCATATACATTTCAACTAACAAAAGAGCATGAAAAGATGTTAAACATCACTAATCATGAAGAAAACACAAATTAAAACCACAATGAGATATCACTACAAACCTATCAGAATGGCTAAAATAAAAAAAAAATAAGAAATGCAGGTGAGGCTGTGGACTAATGGGCTCACCACATTACTGGTAGGAATGTAAAATGGTACAATCACCCTAGAAAATGGTGTGGCAGTTTCTCAAAAAACTAAACATACAACTACTATATGACCAAGCAATAGCACTTCTGGACATTCATCCCACAGAAACAAAGACTTACTTACAGCCACCAAAAGCCTGTGCATGTTTATAGCAGATTTACTTAAAATAACCCCAAATTGAAAACAACCAATATGTCATTCAATCTATACTAATAAAAGCCTAGGTGGCCCTCATGCCCTCACAAGATGGCCGCCCCCACGTCGTCACAAGATGGCCGGCAGTTGGGGGTGACCTGGCCTGCAGGGGAGGGCAGTTGGCAGGGGACCGGGCCTGCAGGGGAGGGCAGTTGGGGGCGACCAGGCCAGCAGGGGAGCAGTTAGGCTGGCAGGGGAGTGGTTAGGTTCTCAACCTTCTGACCCTTTAAATACAGTTCCTCATGTTGTGACCCAACCATAAAATTATTTTTGTTGCTACTTCATAACTGTAATGTTGCTACTGTTATGATTTGTAATGTAAATATCTGATATGCAGGATGGTCTTAGGCAACCCCTGTGAAAGGGTCATTCGACCGCCAAAGGCAGGGGTCCTCAAACTACAGCCCGCGGGCCACATGCAAATACAAATATTATATTTGTTCCTGTTTTGTTTTTTTACTTCAAAATAAGATATGTGCAGTGTGCATAGGAATTTGTTCATAGTTTTTTTTTTAAACTATAGTCCGGCCCTCCAACGGTCTGAGGGACAGTGAACTGGCCCCCTGTTTAAAAAGTTTAAGGACCCCTGGCCAAAGGGGTCACGACCCACAGGTTGAGAACCTCTGAGTTAGGGGGTGATCAGGTTGGCAGGTAGAAGTAGTTAGGGGCAATCAGGCAGGCGAGTGTTTAGGAGCCAGCAGTCCCAGATTGTGAGAGGGTTGTCCGATGCTGGTTTAGGAGAGGGTACAGGCTAGGCAAAGGGACATCCCTCCAGTGCACGAATTTCATGCACCGGGCCTCTAGTAGGTGAATATTTAAATAATTACATCCATAACATGGAACACTACACAGCAAGAACAAGGAATAGACTACTGATATACTCAACAACCTAAATATTCTCCAGAGAATTATGCCTAGTGAAAAATGCTAATACATATTATATGATTTCACATATATGACATTCTTGAAATGACAAAATTATAAAAATAGAGGCAAGATTAATGACTGCCAGAGGTTAAGAAATCGGTAAGAGGTTAAGAAATCGGCAAGGGAGAAGTGGATGTAATTATTTGAGGGCAACATAAAGGTCACTTTATGTTGATATAAATGTTAGGTATCTCGATTATATCAATGCCAATATCCTGATTGTAATATGTTATTACAGATTTGCAAGATGTTACCATTGGTGGAAACTGGGTAAAAGGTAAAAGTGATCTTTCCATATTACTTCTTACTACTGCAGGTGAATCTAAAGATATTTCAAAATGTTGAATTTTTTAGAAAACCAATAAATTAATTAAACACCAACTGGACAAAACTAACATGTTATATAAGTTGTAAGATGGTGGTAGAATAGGTAGAAGCTACTCTCACCTCCCAGGACCAAATCAGAATTACAATTTAATTATAGAAAAATCAACCTGAATAACCAACTGAAGACTAGATGAACAGAAGTTTTATAAGCAAGGATTTACAGAGAAGCCACATTAAGACTAGTAGGAAGGGCAGAGACATGAAAATGACTGGCCCTGCATCCACATGTAGCAGTTGAGAATCCAGAGGGATATCTCAGCTG